AATTTTTTTTAATATATCTATTTATGCTAGGTTCTATTTTATAGGTACAATGACGTGGTGACGATAGAAGTGTGTTTAGTGGTGGTTTATTGCGAAAAATCCCATTTTAGGGTTCCGTACCTAAAAAGTTAAAAAAAGAAACCCTTATTTATACTAAAATCTGTTTTCAAGTTTATCTATTTTGTTTTTTTACTTTATTGTGACGTCTAGCTTACCCAGATTATACTCGTACAATAAATTCCTCATAATACATACAATGTTATAACTCCTCAGTGTGAATAAATATATACATATATATATATATGTGTATATATATATATATATATATATGTGTATATATATATAACTTTTTAAACCTATCAATTCTCTATCTCTACCGTGTCTTCTCCATTCTACATGACATTGTTGCAGTAGACTGTGCCCAAATGGCACGCCTTAAAGCCACAGAACGCAGAAAATAACATAACATTCCATTTTTGAGAAAATCAGTAAAACTAATCTAGTAGTAACTTATTTCGAAATGTCGCATTAATTTAAAATTTCATAAATAAATAGTTTTATTTAAAATGTTAAATATTCGAAAGTATGATTTTCTTAAGTTACATTTTTTTCCATTACAAATTATAAAGCGCTTTACAAACAACTCTTGTAACAATTGCTTGCAATTTGTAATTGAATTACAGATTGTATCAAACCCTCGAACAGTTCGTAGAATTTAGTTAATGGCATAAACGTGCTGAAAACATTTTCAAACAGTGAGAGCCTTGTGCACCAACATTCTTATTTTGATTTAAGCATCGTACATATTTTGTATTGCAAACTTTAAACACAATTAGAATTTTACAAAGCATATTTAAGAAATATTAAATAATTGAATGTATATATAAAATTCTTTCCTCGATCGAAAATTAGGTCATAATTATCATAAAAAATCATTGTCATCGAAACTCAAACAAGTAAAATTTCAATTCTGTAGGATAAGAGCAAGTGGTTCTATAATGCTCTTTGCATTAAAGAACCACTAGCTCTTACAGAAGTCCCTAGGTTGATTCATAGACACGTACCAACTAAAAACATAGCATGTAAATAAAAGCTTGTAAAAACGTAACGAAAAATTCGGCAAAAGTAGACCTTAATTTTAATTGTTTCGGTATATTTGCCAATTTAGTAGTTAGGTAAAGGTTACTCCGTTGTAAATAAACGTAGAACGCCGAAAATTGCAAGATCGGATAAGAAAAATACAAGCCTATTCGATTTTCTCGCATCATTCTCGTATATTATAATAAAAAAGTAAACATTGAGTATTTTCGTAAAATGTAAGTGTGCCAGCATCCTTCTATAATATAATAGTTTCTTAGATTTACGCAAATATTTGATATTTTAAATTAAACTATGTTTTCGAACTTTTCGAGGTTTAAAAGTTCTACATTCCTTTCATGCACTAAAGATGGTCAAACACTTTAGAATATGAATACTAATTTACATTTCATTCATTCAACCCTGTAAGTTAGTAATCTCAAAATATTTACTATTTATTCCTACAAAACTAACCAAAGGGTCAAACTTTAGATTTATTAAGAGACTTGTAGTTCTGCAAACAGTAGACTTCGCGAGCACGAACTGTATTTTGAGGAGCTATTCTACTTATCACGCTGAAAATACACATCATATCTTCACCAAATTTTTATGGGACCAACTTAAAGCTATTCAAATCAAATCAAATCAAAATATTTCATTCAGCATTAAATTATTACAATTTTTTACTGAACGTCATGAGTCTACTACCATTACCTTTTAAATAAAAAAAAACCCCATCGAAATCCTTAGCAAAGAAAGACGAAAGCGACAGGAAGCTTCCTTTTTGCCCTTTTTCGGAGAAAATACCCCTGCAATCAAAAAATCCCCGACGACAAAAAATCCATTGAAGTCGCAAAACCTGTATACCAAGTCCGTCCACATGTGTTATAAAATACGACCCGTAGAGGCCAAAAAGCTGACAGAGGAAAAAGCAAATTTTACAAGACTTGAAGCAGAGACGCTTCGCTCGCTCTGTCAATTAACAAAATTATCTTCTATCGTGCACCCCTAGGGTACTAAAGGCATAATGTTTTTAAATATTTTGTCTGCTGTGTATTAGTTTATCTCAATGCTGTTCGAGAAGTTAGTGTAAGTTGAATATTAATACTTCTTCAAATATAACTTATACGTATTGACAAAATGTCGTTCGTTATATAACGCGAAAGTTTAATTTTATGTTTATGAATTAAGATTTCTATAAAATATCTTTTATACTATCGCAGCGTAAATTTCTAATAATAATCTATATATGAAAAGAACTAAGAAGAGGTTTATACAAGTTTATTGGGAAATAAAGTGTAAGAACGATAAGTGGGATGCTGATAGGAAGAGCACTTTAACGAGCCAATCGATTAGGCAAAATAACTACACAAAGATAAACTTGAGTACCTACTTTTGTTTATATAATGTATATTTAGATTATACAATAATTAATATGCACTAAGACCACAAAAAATATTTGTAAGACTAATCCAAATATTGAGGTAGTCCAGTGGTAACGCGCTCACTTGGGAAACCGAGTGAAGTGGGTTCAAATCCCGTTTTTCGCACCTTTGATATTTTGACGAATCATTTTTAGCATGATTACTATTTGCCTTACCGTGAAGGAAAACATCATGAGGAAACCTGCACGTCTAAGAGAACCTAACAAGTTTTCGAATAACATGTGAAGTCCGGCAACCCGCAATTGGCCAGCATGGTGGACTACTGCCTGATCCCCCTCGTATTTAAAAGAAGGTCCATGCCCAGCAGTGGGACTTTAAAAAGGGCTTCATAAAATCCAAATATTTACGCTGAACAAGAATCAAATAGGTGACAGTCATCCTATGGATAAATTCTTTTCCCATGTGGATGTTTAAAACTTTTTCCTGGACTAGAGTACAAATGAAGATAGATGATATGCTATTTTCTATATAAATTGTTGCTATTTTTACAATTTACAATGAGTTTCAATGTCTGATAAATTGATCGATATCTTATTGTCTTGTTACTTTAAACAATTCGTAATTCTAAGTTATCGCTTGTCTTCTAATACTGTGTAGGACGCGTTTATTTTCCCACTTTTTTATTTTATTTTTGTTTATTTTATTATTACATTTATTTGTCGCTTATTTAGGTACAGGTAGTCCATTAATTCGCTCACTTGGAAACACAAGTAAAGCGAGTTCAAATCACGGGTCCTGCACATCTGATATTTTCATGTTCCATACATTTTCAAAATGATATCCACTTGCCTTATGATAAAGGAAAACGTCATAAGGAAATCTTCATATCTGAGATAGTCTATCAAAAACAATTCATTATCATTTCAAAAACAATTCAATTCATATCAAAAACAAAAACCAAATATTAGGTATCAAGAAATTTTCAAGTATTTTACTTTAAAAGTAGTACTTATTCCTGTTTTTACAAACCTGCTAAACGTTGAACACTTTAAAATTAATAACCTTCTCAACATTCGACGCACGTCCCTCGCACTCGGGAGACCAGGAAATTACTTCTATGAAAATTTGCTATATTTATAAACTTGCAAAAATTAAAATATTATCTGCAAGCTAAGTGACTTTTTCCAATTTTATATCTTATCGAAACTACTCATAAAATACCGCAATAAAACATGCACTCTCCATAAATCTATATCATAAACGAAGCCTATACAAAAATCACATCAATCTTTTGCTTCGTAAAAGATATACGAACTTTTTATATGTGCAATTTATATATATATATATATATATATATATATATATGTATATATATATATATGTAAAATACGTATTAAACAGATTTTCTGCATGTTATCTTTCATAATAATTATAATTACGCTACTACAAACTTAAAAAAAACGCGTTCGGCCAGCTTATAGGTATAGTATAATGAGTGAGCTAAAGTTCTAAGGTTTAACCAGTTGTCATTGAAGAGTTTGATTCTTCACCTTCTAGCTTCACACCAATCCACTTCAGTGGCTTTAAACTATTGTTTTGGTCCTGAAACAAAACGTAAACGACACTACAGCTAGATATAGGTTAATATGGATTATCAAGTTTTGCTAAAAAAGTAAATTACTAAAATTATGTTATTTTTTAAATTATGTAAAATAACACAAGAGTAAAGTAATACACCTCGTATCAACTCATCTCTTATCTCTAACTCATCTTTCTTTAATCATCATCTTTTTACAAAATGAATGAATCTAGAGCTCCCAGATTTTCATCAGATGCTGTACCTTTTTTTTAAAGGCTTTAGACAAAAAAGACCTTAAAGTATTTTATTTTAACATAAGAATATATAAAATATATGTGTATGTACAAAAGTAATGCCATCAACCCTTTTGGGACCCCGAACACAATTGCTTGGACGATGTGGACGCAGTTTGTTAAATTGCACTTGTTTTTGTAACGGAGTTCCTTATCTCACGTTATTCTCGGTACACTTGGCGAATGGGAGCTAAATGGAAAAAGAGTAATACTTCGACCTTTATTTTTATAGTCATAAGTGATAAGGAATGTATGTAGTAACTAGTTGGATAGGCTATAAAATGTAAAAAAAAAATTCGACTAACGGGACGAACGAGGAAATTAAAATTCGCTTATGTTTCTACTAACTATGATTTTGAAAATTTACGTTCAGCCCTTAAACTTAAAACCTCCCTAACTCGGTTCATTTTGACCGTAGGAAAAAAGTTATGATACTTTTTTTATGTAAAATTTTAAAATCTACATATTTTTGTCAAAACTTTTTTGTGTAATTTTTACCGTTTTCGAGTATTTGTAAATGCAAAGTTGAGGTTCAAATTTTGATTTCAGACCTTATTTGACTAGACTATAAATTTGACGATTCAAAAGAGCTTGTAATAGTCTATTTGAATGAAGTATATTTAGAGTTTTGATTTTGATTGCTTTAACCATTTTTCCTCATTTCAGGGCCTCCTATGTATCAGTGCTGACCATCGTAGCATTCACTCTTGAACGTTACTTGGCGATTTGTCACCCGCTGCACATCTACGCCGTAGCGGGTCTACGAAGGGCGCTACGGATTGTGCTCGCGTTGTGGGTGTTGTCGCTTCTGGCTGCTTCGCCTTTTGCCCACTACACAACTGTCAACTACCACGATTACCCCCCCGGTAAGTACATTATCTAAAGTAAGAAAACTAACCTTTTATGGGATTTATTAAATTTATTTTGTATAAGTATGTCTGTTACATAGGCAGTAGTAGCTCGATGGTAACGTGTTGGCTTGGGAAACTAAGTGAAGCAGATTCAAATCCCGAAGACGAAGGTACACACGTTTGGTTCTCGCGACAATGCGCGATTACCTAAACGCCGACATTTTTAATCCAATACGGCGGACGTTACAAAATGGCTATTTATTATTTCAATAGTAACCAATTCCCATAGTAAGTAAATAGTTTTGATTTGGGTATCAAACAAAAAGGCTTGATGAGCGAAACACAACAACGAAAGTGACGTCATTGTAAATCCAATATGACAGACTCCCAAAGATGGCGGACTGTTTTTTTATGCACCCCCATAATATGGATATCAAATGAAAGGGTTTGCTGAAAAAAATGCGAAAAAATAGTAAAAAATATTTTAAAAAGTTTAAACATCATTATTCTTTTTTCATTTTTCTTTGGTAAAAGTATATATTAATAGTGTTGCTTAGTAAGTTGTTTTTAAATAATAGCAAATTAAATTAAAATTATTATCGTTAATTAATTTTAACTTTTTAAATTACACATAGAACAATTATATGGCTTAAATAATTAATACTATATTTTATATTTTTCTTTATGGTTATAAATATAATAATGGCAACACTAAATATAGATTACTAATTAATATTTTAAAATTGTAATATTTATAAAAAATAATAGCAAAAATTAAATAAATAATTTTCCATATTCAATTATAATTAAAATTATAAAAATGTTTAAAGTTAAAAAATATTGTAATGTAATTGGTGCAATTTTCATTTTGTTAATTGTGGGTAGGCTGTCTGTAACAACTATACCTTCAAGACATGTAACACCTCAGTCTCTCCCGTGACCATGGATGCTGTAAAGCATTCGAAACGTCGGGAACCAAAAATCAAAATAAATCCGCGAAATAATCCGAAAAGATAGTTTTATTTAATAATGTCAAACATTCGCGTAAATCTAAGAAAGTATTAAGTTTAAACATTTAAAAACGAGCTTTTATTTAAAAGCTCTAAAAAAACAAAGAAATAAAAACTTTTAACATCTAAATATACTTTTACCTAAGTATTTCTTTAAAAAATTACCTCAAGAGTTTTTCTTGGAGAAAAAGTTTCTAAAACTGTTGATGGATCTCATTATTAAAACGAAGCCACAAAATTTTAACATGTCGTCGCTAACGTTACCTTTAAATTAAATTACCAAGTTAAGACTTGCCCTTTACGATCTTTTGCGTTATAAAGTTAAGTCTGTAAGTCAATGTATAAAATTAACTATCTATGAAAATTAAATAAGAGAGCTCCGTCGTATTGGTGACGCTCAAATTAGATAGTGAATTAACTGTGAAAGCGAGAATTAAGTATAATCAAAAATTTACATTGTATAAAAAATGTATGTACATTTGTATTTTGTAATGAAATTGATTGAATTGAAAGAATCTCGTTTATTAATTGCTTTATATTATCTTTAAATTATTTTGATAAATTAGGTTTGCCCCCCGGCTTCGCTCGTGTACATAACTTATATTTGTCAGAGAAAACTTTTGATTTGCGAAAGATTTTTTTGTATAGCTTTAGTCCTTTCGGATCACATTACATCTTTTATCATTATAAATACAAATATATTTTTTATTGAAGATAGAAAAGGATACATCCCCTGAGCCCAGATAACTCTGTAAAATCAATATCGTTAAAAGAAAACTAAGAAAAATGTGGCCACGTCGCTAAATAAAAGTTTAAATCTATCTATACGTAAATATAATAAAATTGTAAATAAGTCAAATCTGTACATTAAATATTTTTTGGAAAATCTTATTGAAATAAACATTATTATCGATGCAGAGGCCGAATTTATAGTTTTAGAATTTTTGTCTGTCTGTCTGACTATCTGTAACCGCATCACGGAAAAAGCACTGGAAGGATTTTGGTTATCCGGGTCAACATATAGGATATTTTTTACTTAGGGAAAATATATCTTCTCTGAAAAACTATACTAGACGTTAAAACGTAAGTAGGGACGAACACGAACGGGGCGAGGGTGAGTTGCTAGTATGTATTCAGCCCTTTTTAATGTTCCACTGCTGGGCACGGGCCTCCCTTCAATACGTGGGGGGATCAGGACATAGTCCACCACGCTGGCCAAGTGCGGGTTGGCGGACTTCACATGTCTTTCGAAAATTTGCTAGGTTCTCTCAGACATGCAGGTTTCCTCACGATGTTTTCCTTCACCGTAAGGCAAGCGGTAATCATGTTAGAAATGAGTCGCACATGAAAATATCAGAGGTGCGAGACCCGGGATTTGAACCCGCTTCACTCGGTGTCCCAAGTGAGCGTGTTACCACTGGGCTACCACTGCCTTGAGTTGCTAGTAGCTAAATAAAACTGAACAAACCCTTAAAACTTTACTTTTTATATTTTACTTGATATATTTTCTAGCTTTCTATAACACCGACCAATACATACCGATTGTATCAAGTCAAAACACAGATTTCGCAATTTAATTATAATAAGATTATTTTAAATATTAGAATTGATTAAAAATCATAACATAAATAATGAACCTATGTAAATGAATTAAAAGTTCTGAGTAAAATACATGGATTATAGACGTCAGCAAGTAGAAATGTGTTAAATTAAATGGTTAACTTAAAGTCCTGTTCATAATAATATTTTCGAAGTACTATACGACATCGTAGGTCTAACGACAATTTTCATGTAAGAGGGTGAAGTCCCCTTCAAGCGAGCTACGCGTTGACGATTATTAATGTTCTATCAAACTTTTGATTTTACTTTCGTTTGATATTTCAGTTTTCGCATGAATAATGTATAGACAGATTTGAAGGCTACCTTTTTTTATACGTTTTTATTAGCTTCACCTATATCTATGTAATGGATTTTAAACACAATTTTTACCCATTTCAAAACGTCAGTTTAACTTGAGATATCTAAAACCTTAGTCTCTCGTGACCATGATTGCTATAAAGCATTTGAAACGTCGGGAACCAAAAATAAAAATAAATCCGCGAAAAAATCCGATAAGATAGTTTTATTTAAAATTGATAAGCACACTTATCAAGGACCGACGACAATACAACAATTTATTATAAAAACATAAATTGAAAAAAAACAAATAATTTAAAAAACTACAAGAACACGTAAGAGAACTAAATAATAATTTAATATACAAAAAGCAGCAATTTTAAATACATGTCGCATCGTTGGAAAATTCATGCAGGATGACACTAATGTAGCTTATCCCCAAATACCATGACGGTTACTTGGTTTTGACCCGTAATCGCCATTTATTTACCAATATTTGGCTGAGAATCTATACACAAAAAAATATTATATATATATATATATATATATATATATATATATATATATATATATATATATATACAAACTCGCAAACTTTACCTCTTTATAATATTAGTGTATTCAGCCCTTTTTAACGTCTCACTGCTAGGCACGGGTCTCCCTTTAGTACGAGGGGAATCAGGCCATAGTCCACCACGCTGGCCAAATGCGGGTTGGCGGACTTCACATGTCTTTTGAAAACTTGCTAGGTTCTCTCAAACATGCAGGTTTCCTCACGATGTTTTCCATCACCGTTAAGACAAGTGATAATCATGTTGTAAATGATTCGCACATGAAAATATCAGAGGTGCGAGACCCGGGATTTGAACTCGCTTCACTCGGTTACCCAAGCGAGCGCATTACCACTAGGCTACCACTACCTATATATCATATTAGTATGGACTAAAAATGATGTTTTACTGTTTTTAGTTTTCAGACTATAATTTATTAACTACGTTTATTAGCTATTTTTGTATCGCACGCGTAGTGCAGGAGGCGTATAATTAGTTTTACGTCCCACGTCACGTGACGATGACAGAAGGATTTCATATTTTCGAGTACGCCTGTATTTTTTAATAATACAAATTAATTATTATAAATTAAAAAAATAAAAATCCCCCTGCGCAAATTAGTTGTCATTTAACGATTACACTGGCACGCGTGAAGCACTTAATCGAGTAATCATACGCCAAAATGCCTTACATCATTTTGGAAAAGGGCTGATACTCTTACACTGCTGCACCGATACTAACCAAACATAGCAAATATTTTTCCTGTTTAGTAACTATAAGAACTTTTAAATTAAAATGATGTAGATTTATTTTAGCTACCCATGGCGTCTTAAATTGTGCTACGATATGAAAAATTGTTAATAATGTTCTATCAAACTTTTGATTTTACTTTCGTTTGATATTTCAGTTTTCGCATGAATATAACAGTATAATAACAGTAACTTAATCCCACGGACGACCAATACAATACGGATCATCAAAACATCATATTTTCTATGATAGAAATTACGATACTGCTTATTAGGTTTCTGGAATGAAATAATGAAATCAGTATTATTTTAGTAACGTATTACTGTTTATTTTTCTCTATTCATCCGAGAGAAATGTTCTTTTTATTATTATAATATGCCCATTATATATGGTATGTATATGGCTATGTATATGGCTATGTATATGGCTATGTATATGGCTATGTATATACTACTAGTAATAGTTTATAAGTTTTACAACAGCGTCAGGTCCTGGGTTCAAGTCTCAGGTGGGGCTTAAAGCTATCAAGTTTTTGAGCACTGTGTATACCGTATAGATAGCTTTTTCACTTAAACTTTTACTGACTTTGTCGTAAATATTTACCGGTGGTTTAAAACATAAAAAGCAGCTGGCAGCCCATTGAGAAGGCGTTCGCTTGGAAAACCTAGTAATGCGGGCTTAAATACATGGATCTCGCGAACTGGGATTTACATATGAACGACAATATGATCTCCGCCAGCCCGCACTTGTTCAGCCTGGTAGATCGGCTATGGCGTGGTCCCCTTCACATTGAGCCGAAGCTCGCGCTTAACAACATGAATCATTATTTTAAAAGTCCTGGCTGAATCTTTTAAAAATTAGCAAATGATTCTTAAAAAATAGTATATAATTAAATTAAATAATTTAATTATTAGCTTCAGAAAGTCATTACACAAAGGTACAATTATTGTTAAAGGCACATGTTGTGTTGGCCATGCAGATATATATACACGTATTGGTTAGTCTTTAGTCTTAGCCATTATACATTTATGTATATGTATATTCATAATTAACTATATATTTTGTCATTTCAATGTATTTCTTTTATTGTAAACATAATAGATGAAGCCCAGTGCTAACGCGCACGCTTGGGAAACCGAGCGAAGGCGGTTCAAATCCCAGGTCTAGCACTTCTGATATTTTCATGTAGGAATCATTTTCCAACATGATTACCATTTGCCGTATGGTGAAGGAAAACATCGTGAGGAAACCTGTGGCCAGCGTGGGCTATGGCCTGATACCCTAGTATTGAAAGGAGGCCCATCCCCAGCAGTGGGACGTTCGAAACAAGGGCTGAATATACAAACAAATAATAATGATTTTATCGGTATAGGTAAACTGGAAGTCTAGACTTTTGGTTTAACTTCTAAATAAAGTAAAATTTCTTGAATTATTTATTTATATATAATAATATTATATTTTAATATTTCTGTGTTTTTTATTTATATTTCGATTTCCAATATTCTAATCATGAAGAAACGAAACACACAAGTAGGTACTTCGAAACATAAAAAAATCAAAGTTTTTTCATTGAGCTACCCTTTCATATAAGAAAATTTCATAGTTGGCATCACGGAAATTACATGTTGGTGCGACCGACGCATTAGGTGGAGAATCATTTGGTATCCGTAACTTTTATACAACCTCTATATTGGATCCTTGCGAAAAAGAGATATAATATTATATAATGTCACTAGCGGCTCATCATCGCTCCGCTTTGGGTTCATTCCTAGACAAAAACAAATCTATCACACGGGAATTTTACATTTTTCCGGAATAAAATGTAACCTATGTGCTATTCTATCTCTGTGCCAAATTTCATCCAGATCTGTTCAGCCATAATGGCGTGATTGAGTAACATCCATCCATCTAAACTTTCGCATTTATAATATAAATGGGATTATAATTTTGTTAACATCGAATAATTAACAATTTTGAAACAGATGTTGGAGTCTAATAGAATTATGTTTTTTTTTAAAGTTCTTAAACAAAAGAAACTTGATTGACAAACTAAAACGCAAATAGAGACAAAAGAAGACATTGAACAGAGTTGTCTAATTTATATCTATACTAATATTATAAAGAGGTACAGTTTATGAGTTTGTGACGTTGTAGGAGGTAATCTCTGGACCTACTGAATATTTAATAATAATAAGATAAAAAAACTTAATTTTTTAATGTATTAAATTAAGCATTATATCGTCAATTTAATATTTCTCGCTATAGAAACCTCGATGTGCGAGTCAATCTTGCAAATGCCCGATTTTTATACAGTAAAATATGTTGTCTAAATCATCAATACACACAAACATCAATATCACAATCATTCATCGCCATTTTCACACTGTTCACTATTCAACTATGTTCTTTCCAGGGTCTCAAACTATCTTCTTACCAAATTTCATCTAAATCGGTTCAGTAGATTTAGAGCTCCTACAACATCACAAACTCACAATCTCACAAACTCACAAACTTTACGTCCTTATAATATTAGTATAGAAAAATTGATACAACACTGATGACTTTATCAAATTTTCACAAATATGTAGTCACAGCCTTCAAACATCAGTTCCATTGCAAGCTGTCACGCTGGTTTTCCAAACTAAGCCAATTTCCTAGGTGCAGGAGCACGCTTTGTGTATTATTACCCATTGTTTTGGGGTTTGAGATAGTGTCACCCTCAGGCCTTATACCTTAGGTACAATTTAAACTAATTTCATATAAAGATACATCCTTATTACATCGTTTTAATTTTTTTATATCAAGATTTTCCAATTAATTGTAAGGATATTTCGCACTCCTTGAAATTTCACACAGGAAAACTCTTTTGGAACATTTTTAACCTTTATATGACGACACATTTAGTTCAGTTTGTAGCCCTGTTTGTTTGTGACCCTACTTGCAGTGCTATAGGTCGCGGGTTCGAGTCCCGTATAGTATAGTAGTAGTCGGGTATACATTTATGTGATGAGCACGAATGTTTGTACTCCAGTAATGGGAGTCAACATGTATGTGTTTAATGTTATATATGCTTAACATGAAACTAGATGGTGCTGTGTGTTAATGATATATTTATAACATATAGATAATAACATATTTATTTATTTACTAGTATTGGCCGCGGCTCCGCCCGCGTTCAAATGACCAAAAACCAAATTCTTAGGTTTTACATATTAGTATACTCTTACATTGCAGTTTTTGCATCTTTTCTCAGAAATGAGATATTTTCCCGCGGTAAAAAGTATCCTATATGTTGACCCGCATAATCAGCTATCACTATACCCATCAAATCCCTCTGGTAGTTTTTCTGTGATGCGGTAACAGACAGACAGACAGACAAAAAATTTAAAAACTTTAGATTCGGCTTTTGTATCGATAATAAAGTCAATTTCAATAAGATTTTCCAAAAAATATTTAATGTACAGATTCGGATTAGTTACAATTTTATTATATGTATAGATATAAAATTCAAAAATAAAATTTTTTATTCAGTTACCAGTTTTACTTATATTGTATTATAGTGCATTTTTTACATTTATTACATTTAAATGTATTAATTATTACTTAAGCACATGCAATAAGGCTTTTATTTTAACAAGAACCTGAACAATGTACTTTACATAAAAAACATTTTAATTGAGAACCTCTCCAATAACGGCCTTTAGGACAAAAGGCATTGCTATTTGAATGCTAGACTTCTTAAATATAAATTATACTAATAATAGCCTACGCTTCGCTCAGACTCTTAAGTCAAAGTGACATAAAATAATTTAAAAACGTTGAGATTTCTCTTAATCTATACATATAATAAAATTCTAACTGAGCTGAATCTGTACATTAAATATTTTCTGGAAAATCTTATTGAAATAGTCATTATTATCCATACAAAGGCCGAATCTATAGTGCTTAGAATTTTTGTCTGTCTGTCTGGGAATGCATCACGAGAAACCACTGAACAGATTTCGATGGGTTTGATGATAACTGGTTAAACGGGTCAAGACATAGGATACTCTTTACTACGGGAAAAAATATCATCTATTAGAAATCTATACTAAACGTTAAAAAGTAACTAGGGATGAACCCGAGCGGAACGTGGGTCTGTCGCTAGTGTTTTAATATAAATCTACTCTACAAGGCGGTTGCTGAAAGTCAGCGTTGAATCTTCGGGATCGTTTCATTTGTTCATTTTTATATGGGCTGAGAGACGTTCATTTTTATGACGGTACACTGCTATACAAATATAACCTCTTATATTAATTGTAATTTTTTAGTATAATCAGTATTTTTTCCGCAAGATTGATGTTCTGAAATCTGGAAAGTTTGATGTTGTCTCAATATGTATTTTTCATTTATTTATTTATTTATATCATGGTCATCGAAATAAACTATTTTTTAAACTAGTAACTTTCCCCTTGCTTCGCTTGGGTGCGTTTTAAATAGATATGTATGAATAGGTATTGCGAGTGTACCTTAGGAGATACACATATACAATTGGGGACTTTTTTATAGTTAAAATTGGTACAGTACTTTTTGCGTGAAACGCGCACACCGAAACAGACATACAGGCAAACACACAAAAAAAACCAATGTTTTGGGATCTATATTGTGTACATAATACCTACGTTCTTCCATTGTTTTTAAAAAATATTTCATGCACTGATTTCGCTAAGTTACTGTTTTATTATATCTATACATTAAAACACATAAAGCTTCTAGTAAGAAACTCTTTAAATAGTAGTTAAAAATCACATGAATATTTATTGCGTAGTTTAAAAGATGCAACCGTATAAACAGATGTATAGAAATAAAGTTTGTTTTATAATAAAGATAGCTGTTATAACTTACCTAAATGCTATATTTTTCTCACATTATATTATAGTACGTGGGCTACCGAGCTTCGCTCGGAGTTTTTGGCCAAAAAAAACATAAAAAAAAAATAAACTAAAAATTTGAATAAATACAGAAAAAAAACAAAAGTAAAAGATTTGTATCCGTCCGGGATACGAACCCACACACCTGTGGTTATCACACTTGCGCCTTGGCCGCTTGACCACGATATTTATGTCCTAAAATTTGGTATGGACTATGGTGATAGTTGGTTATCCCGGTTAACACATAGGATACTTTTTACCGCAAGAAAATGTCTCATTTCTGAGAAAAAATACAAAAACTGCAATGTAAGAGTATTATACTGATAGGTAAAACCTAAGAATTTGGCTTTTGGTCACCTGAACGCGGACGAAGCTGCAGGCAATGCTAGTAATAAATAAAATTAAAAGAAAATACGAATAATATGTTTGGGTTATTTAATTAAAATATTTGTATATGACACGTTAATCGATAAGTACACGTACCAATAAAAAAATCACAGTGATGGTTTTCCCGTGCTTTTGTTTGTTTGTATATATATTAATATATATATATATATATATATATATATATATATATATATATATATATATATATATATATATTTATATGTTTTTAAAGTTATCCTCTTTCTACAGCATCCGGTAATGCATCTTTAGAGTCTGCGTTTTGTGCTATGTTGGAACTGCCTTCTTGGTACATCTGTGAGCTGAGCAGTTTCTTCTTCTTCATCCTGCCTGGCCTGATCATCCTCTGTCTGTACGTGAGGATGGGCTTGCGCATCAGGTATGTCATGGGGTATGTATCTTCTTTACACCATACTTTAGAATAATGCACGTTTTAAGGATTTAGTTAAACATTTTTAAAACTTTGTATTTTATTCAAGTTTTATTATTGTCGATATAATTTCATCAATACAAAATGTAAATTTTTCATTTAATTATATTTTAAATTTACAGGTAATTATGACTTATAAAATGTTTAAATTACAGACAAAGTTGAATTTATTGTTTATTGGAATGCCGGACGATAATCAGGTTCGAATCCTGGGTCTTATATCTCTGATGCTCTCATGTGCGAATCACATTTGTGAGTATGTATGTTTGTTACTCTTACATGCCAGAACGGCTTAACGGATCTGGATGAAATGTGACACAAAGATAGATTATAGTGTGGAATAATATATAGGCTACTTTTTATCCTGGAAAAATATACGGATCCCGAGGTATATTTGTTTTTTTTCTAGAGGCACCCGAGCGAACCGAGGTTGAGCTGCTAGTATTAAAAACTATGTGTGATATAATATTATGTTAATAATCACCGAACAAATCTCGCTCTACAAAACTTTGAACTCTCAATATTTTCTAGTATAACATTTAAAATTAAAGTCAATTTGTATACAGAATAAGAGCTTTGTCACAATAATTTATCATTAAAACAAAAGCTATTGAAACAACAAATCTTTAAATAATAAGTTTATGTTGAGAATAATAATTCTTTGATCAAATTAATCAATTAGGATCGTCTACTGTTAAATTAAACTTTAAAGTGAATTCAGGATAACTAATTCTTTTGTTCAAGATGTTAGATTCAGTTCTGTTAGCTTTGGAGACAAATTTGTCTAGTTAAATTATTTGCTATCGTCCTGAGTTCACGCATTCGAGTATATCTTATGAGACAAGGTTTAAATTAATCTGAATCTTATAAGTATTTATTGCAGTGGGAGTTCACGTATTTGCTTTGTATGGGCTGGCACCGATTTCGAAAATATTTGATTAGGTATGTATTTAATAGGTAGGCTTTAATTACTTAGCTAAAGCACACCGACTTCGAAAATATTTGATTAGGTATGTATAGTAAATGAAAACTACCAATCAGTTATTTTTTACTTTTTAGTGCTTTTGTTTGAAGTCGGTTTTTATTTTTTTGTTAAAAAGTTTTTATTTTTCCCTTTTTAGTGTAGACAGTAGTAGCAAAGTAAGAATTCCAACGTGTTAGGCTTGTCAAATCAAACAAAATAAGCCCAAACTCAAAGTATCTACTATTAGCCGTTGAAGAGTTCCACCTATCCACCTTCTGGCCTTACCATCAAATCAGGTCAACAATACTGAACGACTGTACTATCAACGGAAATAAAAACACTTGCAAAGTTTCAAGTCAATATGACAATTAGAAGTAGGTTAAATTCATCATTAGCTGTTTATCCATCCTTAGGGGTGGTATTTTTTTTTTGAAATTTAAATGGGACCAATCTGGAAGTATACACTTTCAAACAACACAAAAATTGTCCAAATCGGTTGATAAATGACGAAGTTCTGAGGTAACAAACATAAAAAAAAAAAAAAAAAAAACAAAAAAAAATACAGTCGAATTGAGAACCTCCTCCTTTTTGAAGTCGTTTGATAAAACTATTTTCTTATATATAATTTTTTTCTATATATAGAGCCGTTAAAATTAATAAAATCTTACCTGAAAATGATAAAAATGATAGAAATATACTAGATTGTGAAATATTATATTTATATTGGATGACTACTAATTACTATAAATGTATGCGAAAGCTTATGTATATTTGTCTATATTATTTAAGTTCCCTTCATGTTCGGCCATCTCATTGAGACTAGCCATCTGCGCAGGAGATATTATAGTGCAGACACAACGTGCACTCTCTATTCCTGTCACTCTCATACTCCGGACGACTGCTCGACACGATCAGTGAGAGTTAAAGGCGCAAGACCGCGCGACACGTCCTGTCCGAAACACGGAAGTGAAACACCTACCCAACTCCGACTTCTAAAAACTGAAGCTTACAAAACAGAAATACTCAATAACTAAACTTGGCCGTACCTGGGATTCGAATCCAAGACCTCCAGATGTGCAGCCGTACATGCTAGCCACTACACCACAGAGGTAGTTAATAGTGTAATTTAGTACATATGGTAGGCTTGGCCTGGAGTACTACATAGGCTACTTACTGTATGGCACGCGGGGACATGTGTATATATATACATATGTATGTACATACATACGTACGATGGAGGGTAAGTCGCTAGTGCTCTATAAATATCATTAATATATATTGATTAAGGGAATAAGGGAAAAAAGGAAAAATAATAAGTTGCTCATGAATTAATCAGACCTGTTCTTAATGAAACCATTTTTTATCTATACTAATATTATAAAGAGGTAAACTTTGTGAGTTTGTGAGGTTGTAGGTAATCTCTGGCTCTACTGAACCGATTTAGATGAAATTTGGTAAGAACATAGTTTGAGACCCTTTTTTTAACGTTGGGAAATGCATTACGCACGAGGGACTCACCGGCAAAGCCAGTACTACCCACTAAAACCCAACAAAACCTTCCCCCGTCTTAATGGGGCGTCGCAGGATAGCTTACGCATTCAACTTCGACGCCCCGACGGCAGGTCTGCCGAAGCAGACCACAACAACCATGGGGTTGCTCCAAAGTCCATGCTATCAGAGAAGTACCAGGAGCAACCCGCATGGTACACCACCCACCGAAGAGGGCTACTTTCCACCGCCCACCGAAGTGGGCCACCTCCCTGTGCGTTTATTGGCTTCGCGCCCGGTGGATTGCCGGGCACTACTGAGCCCCCTCACCACGACAAGGTGAACGCACGTTGGGGGGGATAGTTCGAGACCTTGAAAAAAAAAACTTTTCATCCTGGAAATCCCTTAAGGGGGTGAAAATGGGGATGAAAGTTTGTATGAGGAATTAACCTAAAAACGAACCTGAGCGAAGCGAGGGTGAGTCGCTAGTCTCCAATACAAGGTTTAACTTGGCTGTGAATTACGCTTAGTTTCCAGTCATTTCAAACTTTTTTTATTGTAACGCCTTCGTTCTGAATCGGAATACAGAGAAAAAATTAAATTTACTTTCTACAGTTTTTAATAGGATTTCTTATTAAATGCTTTTCTGGTGAACTTCAATTAATAGAAAGTATGGATTTAGAATTACCTAGTTGATTTATTTAATTTTAACATAAAAATGTTTTAACATAAAGTAAATCAGTGGTAACGTGTTCGTTAAGAAAGCACAGTAAAGTGGGTTCAAATCCCCGAATGTAAGTAAGAATCTAAACTATGTCCTAATAACCACCCCCAAATATGTCTGCAAGTCGAGGAAACTATTTTAATTTAAAAAATACCAGAGTCCACCCTTTACTCTTTCACGGCCCTTATATCCGGAAACAAAAGCCCCTTTAAAATCTGTTTCGGAGATAACATGTTAAACAGCCCACATTGAAGCTTTATTTAGTTCTGCAGAGAGATTGTTCTGGATTCTTTGGATATATTGTATGTTTCATTTATTGATGGTATCACACATGTATATCTGTATCGTGGCCCATTGCTTTGATGAATAATTTTTTTCCTACTATTATGTTTTTATGGGCACTACTACTTTTTGCCTTCGGCTCCGCTCGTATTCTACCTCCACATCGACGGGTATCCTTGTGCCAAAAACTCAAATCTGTTAAGCTGTGGAAGTGTGAAGTATTAATAAATACTCATGAAAAAGTAACAAAAGATAACACCTCCAGGTAAATTTCTAAGAAATTAATTAAATTTCTAGGAAATCTATTGTTAACTGACACGCCGGCGTGTCCGCGGTCGTTGAGGAACTATTTTATGTAATAATACAGTTTAATCGAAAAAAGTCTTGGATGATAAACGTTGGTTCTGCAAATTTTTTCCTCTTTTCTGACTGCTCATTAAGATGATATGTATGGTAGTGGAAATCTTATTGGTCTACGTGCTATTTTTTTGTGTAAATGTTTTAAATAATGTATTTTTCTCAAAAATAAATAAATCAGAAATGTCAATAATACCGTAATATTTTACGACCTGTATTCGTAGACCAATGTTTTGTTACTGGGAGATAGAGTGAGCTGTTTATCTATCTAACAGCCAGGGTTTTCTGAAGCGATTTCACAAATCCCGCTTGTACGAGTATTTTATACGATACTTTTACTTGCGTTCAAACCAAAATAAGAATCTGTTTTCCTGTTTGTGTAGGTGGAATTAGATTGATTTTTAGGAGTTTAACTTCAACAATAGAAAGTATGGATTTAGAATTACCTAGTTGATTTATTTAATTTTAACATAAAAATGTTTTAACATAAAGTAAATCAGTGGTAACGTGTTCGTTAAGAAAGCACAGTAAAGTGGGTTCAAATCCCCGAATGTAAGTAAGAATCTAAACTATGTCCTAATAACCACCCCCAAATATGTCTGCAAGTCGAGGAAACTATTTTAATTTAAAAAATACCAGAGTCCACCCTTTACTCTTTCACGGCCCTTATATCCGGAAACAAAAGCCCCTTTAAAATCTGTTTCGGAGATAACATGTTAAACAGCCCACATTGAAGCTTTATTTAGTTCTGCAGAGAGATTGTTCTGGATTCTTTGGATATATTGTATGTTTCATTTATTGATGGTATCACACATGTATATCTGTATCGTGGCCCATTGCTTTGATGAATAATTTTTTTCCTACTATTATGTTTTTATGGGCACTACTACTTTTTGCCTTCGGCTCCGCTCGTATTCTACCTCCACATCGACGGGTATCCTTGTACCAAAAACTGAAATCTGTTAAGCTGTGGAAGTGTGAAGTATTAATAAATACTCATGAATAAGTAACAAAAGATACCACCTCCAGGTAAATTTCTAAGAAATTAATTAAATTTCTAAGAAATCTATTGTTAACTGACACGCCGGCGTGTCCGCGGTCGTGGAGGAACTATTTTATGTAATAATACAGTTTAATCGAAAAAAGTCTTGGATGATAAACGTTGGTTTTTGCAAATTTTTTCCTCTTTTCTGACTGCTCATTAAGATGATATGTATAGTAGTGGAAATCTTATTGGTCTACGTGCTATTTTTTTGTGTAAATGTTTTAAATAATGTATTTTTCTCAAAAATAAATGAATCAGAAATGTCAAAAATACCGTAATATTTTACGACCTTTATTCGTAGACCAATGTTTTGTTACTGGGAGATAGAGTGAGCTGTTTATCTATCTAACAGCTAGGGTTTTCTGAAGCGATTTCACAAATCCCGCTTGTACGAGTATTTTATACGATACTTTTACTTGCGTTCAAACCAAAATAAGAATCTGTTTTCCTGTTTGTGTAGGTGGAATTAGATTGATTTTTAGGAGTTTCTCATAGTATTAGTTTTATATCTGACCTTCAACATAATAAAAATAACCTGTTTATTGAGTAGAACGAAAGTTATTCATTTACATAAGTAGTTTTATACCTACTTTAAATAAAAGTGTAACTGATCGCTGATCGTGTACGTGGAAGATATTTAAAAAAAACTTTTATTGGATGTCTTTTTTAATAGCAATAGGACCCAAAACAATGATTTTTAGATTTTTTGTCTGTTTGTCCGTGCGTTTGTACGCGCTAATCTCAAAATCGGCTTAACCGATCTGGGTGCGGTTTTCACTAATGTATTGTGGTAAGCTTCACTTAACATTTAGATAGTGTTTGCTTTATTTCAATCGGTTCATAAATAAAAAAAGGTATCTGAATTTAAAGAATCACTTAGGGACGAACCTAGTTGTGTACCTTTCAGTCGAATCCATACAGCGTTTCTAATAGCAGTCAAATAATAATTGCACAGATTTCGATGAAATTGAGTTATGTCGTAGATTGTATATGGGGGCATAGGTTATCTTTCATCCTCGCCCGCTTACCATACGATCGGAGCTGCGTGCATAAACAAAAATCCTATAAATGTTTCTTGCTTCAACATTTAAGCATTATATTGGTATAAAGTGATTGCTAAACTAACCACGTCGGCGTTACCGTTCTACCCACATCAAATGCAGTGATGCGGTTTCAAGTGCCGTTGAATGTTTAGAGTTTTTGCATCTTCGACAGATTTTGTTAAAAGTGCGATTGGAAAATAAAAATAAATAGGTAAATTTAAAAAAAAAAACAATTTCGATAAAAATATAACTAGTATTTTTTATTTTATTAATACCTTTCCATCGACGTCGATTCGATAAAACCAAATATACATATTGTGAATAAGAAGTTTCCAAGTAAAGCTACTAAGCATCAGCAATTCCTCCATTATTTAATTAATTTTATAGAATGCCCTTCAAAATGACTAACAATACTATGTGACATGTGTCCACCGTTGGGTGTTATGTGGCGCCATCTAACTTCTGTCTTCTACAGATTACAGATTACCTCACGGTGGATGACAATACTTTTAAAATATTAATATTTACAATATTACAAACTCATATCTGTATTAACATTATAAAGTTGTAAATAATAAAATATAAATAATCGACGTCAAATTAATATTATAAAATATAAAATTATAACTAAAAAACATATGAAGAATCATTATGATCTATAAATAATGAATATTCTAACATGGCAAAATATCAATGGAGCAACTATAACTAACAATACATTGTTAAAATATTAAGTATTATAAACACAATCCGTCAAGTCGCTCAGAAGTTATACGACTTTTAACAGAAGCTCAAACGATTATTAAAAAAAAATAACATTTAACATACAGATAAAAAATAAATTAAAATATAACAGGCTCAATAAAACATTTTATCACGATTAAAGTAAAAACCTTTTTGATATAAATTTAACGTGACATAATTTATGCATTTATCAACACGAACCGCAAATTTGATTGCATTTTCGGCCTAATTTATTCAGCCGGTCCGTATCATGTAAAGTCTCTTGCCACATTAAAGGGAATGATTCGACTCCATTATTAGCGGTTAGACGTTTCATAGGCAGATGCAGTTTCATTTATTAATTTCTGATCTATATTGAAGCTATACAGATAAATAAAATTGAAGTGTCGGTTTGTAATGTCAAAATAACATCATTTTAGGAAATGTATATGGATGTAGGTACATATACCTACCAAAATAACATTTTTACAATTTTTGTCTGTCTGTCTATCTCTGTTCCGGCTAATCTCTGAAATGGCTGCACCGATTTTGACAGGACTTTCACTGGCAGATAGCTGATGTAATAAGGAGTAACTTATGCTACTTTTATTATAGAAAAAGAATTAGGGTTCCGCTCAAAAAATTAAAACGTACCTAGATATGCATCCGAGTGAAGCGTGGCTAACTGGCAGCCAAGTGATATCGCGCTCGCTTGGAAAACCAAGTGAATCGGGTTCAAATTCCAGTTCACCCACCTCTGATATTCTCATGCCCGAATCATTTCAACATGATCACCATTTGTCCTACGGTGAAGGAAAACATCGTGAAGAAACCTGAATATGTGTTTAACCTAACAAGTTTTCGAAAAACATGTGAAGTTCGCCAACCTGTACTTGTTCAGCATGGTGGACTATATCTCGTCCTCGTATATGAGCTTAATATATATATATACATTACAACTGGAATAACAAAATGTTATCTAGAGAATCAATACATTAGTCTTAATAGTTTATTGCCCGCAGGTCAACCCACGCGCACAACCCGGGCGGTCCGGGCACATTGAACGGAGTGAACGGCAGCGTGCACGGAGAAGCGAGACAGGCCCAGTCTAGGAAGAACATTATTAGAATGTTGGGTAAGTAAATTGGTTGTACCTACGGTTTTGCTCGATATATTAATATACTTATATTATTTTCGTAACAATGTTGTCTTGTACCGACCAACCGAGTTTTGGTCACGGTGATTTTTCTCAGAGAGACTTCCCAAGAGCGCAGGAGATATTATAGTGAACAAGTGCTCGCTCTATTTCTGTTACCCTCAAATCGCGATAGGACGATAATTCAACACGATCGGTGAGAAGAAGCGCAGGACCGACTATAGCTGTACATGATGCCCACTAGACCATAAAAGCAGTTTTTATTCTCATACAGACAGAACATAAGACTCGATTTTCTTGGATTATACACATCCCCAGCTTGGAGTGGAGTGGATTTTAAGATATATGTATCTTTTTTATAATCCCCATCTTCATGGAGTGTCGCCGGATTACTTACGCACTTAACCACGACGCCGCAACGGCAGGTCTGCCAAAACAGACCACAACAACAATTGGGGTTGCTCTAATAGTCCACTCTGCTATGCATGCAGAGAAGTACCAGGAGCAACCCGCATGATACACCGCCCACCAAAGTGGGGCCACCACCCAGTGCGTTTCTTGGCTTCGCGCCCGGCTATATTGCCGGAAGCTAATGAGTCTCATCAAAATCGGCTAAACTCTTAGCGAAAATATCGCGTAACATACACAAAAAAAAACATACAACTTAAATTGAGTACAGGAGGTTCTTTTTATATCAGTTTAAATCCAAAACCTTAGTAAACCAATTCTCATACCTCTTAATTATAATAACTACTATCAATCGATCAAATCTGTCTATCGAACCTAATTTACAGTGGTATTTTAATTCAATAAACGGTGTGTGGTAGTTTAATTCAATTAAGCGATATCCGAATTCCTAAGCACATGAGCGAATTCTCAGATGTACTTCTGCTACACACGTAATCTACTATAATCAATTAACCTTCTTGTTAAGTTATATAATATACTAGCGATTCACCCTCGCTCCGCTCGGGTTCATCCCTAGTTACGTTTAGTATAGATTTCTCAGAGATGAGATATTTTTCCGCAGTAAGAAGTATCCTATATATTGACCCGGATAACCAGCTGCCATCATACCCAATTTCATCAAAATCTGTCCAGTGGTTTTCTCGTGATGTGGTAACAGACAGACAGACAAACAGACAGACAAAAATTCTAATAACTATAGATTCGGCCTTTGTATCGATTATAATGACTATTTCAATATGATTTTCCATGAACGAATTAGCGACTCGTTCATGTGATTTTCCAAAAAATATTTATTGCACAGATTCGACTCATTCAGAATTTTATTATATGTGTAGATTGTATCGGATGATTGAAAATCATCGTAGATAATGTGCTATGTGGTGTAAATAAGGTCCGTTCCCAGCATTAGGACGTTAAAAAAGGGCTGAATACATATTGTGATATGTCTGACTGACATAACCTGCTGCTGAGAAGATCTAAGATTCGATTCCCGTGCCGAACAAATACTTGTATTTTTGACCTGTCTGAAGTTGACAACTCACAAATAGTTACAGCTAAACAATATGCAAATATGACGATAGTTTAAATTAATATATACGTAACGATAATCCGATATTTTCGCTAACTATAAACTTACATTGGAAACTTTTTAACGATCTTGAGGTCGTACACCGACTTTTTTTTGTAAAAGTTATTTAATTAAGCAACATAATATATGAAACTTCCTTTCGGATGTTTTCGTGGATTTATTTTGATTTTTGGTTCCCGACGCGACGTTTCCAATGCTTTACAGCAATCATGATCACGGACGAGGGAGAGTTAAAATTCCAAAAACATATGTAGTTTGTTTAAAATGTCAAATATTCGCGTAAATCTAAGAAAGTTTTAAGATATAATATGAGTTATATTATATAAGGGATAAAATAAGGGTAGTAGCGCTAACTATGTAGTTTAGTCCTACGGTTTGACCCTTCATACTTCGTTTGTTCTCCAGCATTAAACCATAAAAATTTCAATTAATAATTCTGAATTGTATATAAAATTAGATTTGTGTTTTAATAATAAAATATAGTATTTTTAAATTCTTCTTCATGACTTTTGAGGAAATTATATTTTTTTCTGTAATTGAAATTTCTAGTTAAACCTATTTTAATATCTTCAGAAGTCGTAAATTACACTTTCTTCTTAAATATGGAACAATATTAAACACCGATTGACTATCGATAACAAAGAGTTTTAAATGTTGTAGTAAGAATTAACAACAGTTAACAGCTGAGGAACAGCGCGGCTTGAACAAAACCTAACACTCCAAAAGCTAACTTTTGTGAGCAAGCTCGTTTATTATTTTCTTACACTCTATCGGTGCAACGAATAAATTAATAGTAAAAAATATTTTTAAACACAATTAGAAAACAGAATTAGATAAGTATTTTTTTCTCTTTTTCGCGTATTAAAAAAACTTCTTTAAAAAAATGACTGTTTATTTATTTATCTCATTTATTAGTTTACAAGTCATGGTGTTTACATGTCATGGTGTGGGTGCACTATTTAAATTAACTGAATCATAATTGAATGCCTATACAAAATTTCGTGTCTTTGACTGTGACTGCTGAAGAAAAATCTTATACCTTAATAAAAAAGTTATATCATGGATTAAAAAAATTATCTGTATTTATTAACGTTTTCCCTACGATTGGGGAGCTGCAAAAACAAACAGTTCATAAAGAAAATTGGACAAGTGTCGTGAACAATCCTGTCATGTCATACGACCTCGTCGTACACTGCCCCAACCCGGACTTGATTTATAGGCGACGCGGGATTAGTCAAATTACGTGCCCCTTAGTCTAATCCCAAATCGCTCATATATTGTATGCCTAAAAAATTGGTGTAATATACTCATAGCTTGAAGCTCTGAAGTCTTCGTAGTTGTCTATATACTGTAATTAACTAGCTATTTACCTTTGCTTTACTCGAATATGTCCCTAAGTCCTTAATTATCTATGAACTATTCCAGGTTATTTAATTATGTGCTAAATTTCATCAAAATTCGTCCAGCCGTTTCAGATAAACATACATAGGGACAAACTTTGTCTGTATTTATATGTATGTATGATAGATTATATTTGCAATATAGCCCATAATCTTTCTGTCTGTAAGCTTTTTTTCTATTGGTCAAAACATATAAAAAAACCTTACAGTAGTTGCTGACATTAGCTAGAATAAATACAGTGTCAACTTTACAGCAGAGAGCTTTAAAAATAGAATAAACATTCAAAAGTTAATAATTCTGTATTAAAAAGTCTTTCGGTAAATTGATTATTTGGGCAAATAAGCACTGAGACGATGAGTTGCAGACTCGCTATTATGGCTATCGGTACAATCATTCTATGCTTTCATACACTAACGAACTAGATCTAGTAATCTTTCGCAACCAATTCACCGGACTAAAGGCCGTTACATGAATAGAACCTTCCCGAAGGATCCGCTAATTGAATTGAGCAATGATTTAAATATATCTAATCTTTTTATATTGTACTAAATGTATATCTATATATATATGTATGTATGTATTTAAGTGTGTATGTATTTATGTATGTATGGATTGGTATATGTATCTATAAGTATTTATATACATAAACGTGTCAATGCAAGTACACCGCCTACTGTCTTATGAAAATTTACTCCTCTTCCTCAGGGTTGCCTGGAAGAGATCGCTTCCAGCGATAAGGTCGCCTGCTGTGCATCTTTTCTTTGTGTTTTTTTTTCTTTGTTATTTTAGTTTTCGGTATATATTTCGGCAATAAAAAGTATTATTATTTTTATTATTACTACATAAACTAAAGTAGATATACAATGTAGATGGTAATAATATTAAAGCATAATTCTAAAGATTGTTTTTGTTTTCCTCAAAGTGTAAAGTCGTGAGATAAATATTAGAAATTTTTAAATTACCTAATAAATCTTTTTAACGTCCCACTGCTGGGCGCGGGCCTCCCTTCAATACGAGGGGGTCAGGACATAGTCCACCACGCTAGACAAGTGCGGGGCAGACTTCACATGTCTTCACATTTCATGTTAGTGGTACCTAATCATGTCAAAAGTGAAAATCATTGGTCTGAGACCTGAAGTTAGAACCCGCTTCACTTGGTTTTACAAGTAAGCGAGCTACCATATAGCCCCATATATGGTTTTTTCTGTATTGTAAATAAAAGATAGCAAGATTACGTTCAAGAATGCTATTTGTTGCTGAAAAAGTTCTTTATCGTGCTCACGGTTACAAAGCTTACTAAAAATGAACGCTAGTTCCAATAATATTTTTATGTAGAATATTAAAGTATCTGGCATTTTCTCCGGCAATTTTAAATGTATATATAACTAAAACCCTTCATACGTTGGAATAACTATGTACATATTACTTAAGTGACCATGTTGGGGACGGGAAAAAATCTTTTAATAATCCATTAACCACTAGCTTTCACCTATGACTACGCTCTCACGTTTCGCGATAAATTGTAAATAAATAAATATGTTGGGACATTAACACACAGCACCATCTAGTTCCATGGTAAGCTACGAGGCCTGTGTTATGGATACCAGATAGTTGATACACTACACAATACACATATAACTTTTAATACACACACATTATAAATATAAACACCCATGACTGGAATAAAAGCATTCAAGCGAGCATGAACATGCTCATCGCACAAATGAATGCAGGACTCGAACCCGCGACAGCTGCTGGCACAGCATGTAGGGTGGATCACTAGAAACTGATCCAAACGTGTCGAAATTATAAATTCTATTCGTCAGTACTAGTCTCATATCTATACTAATATAACTATACTAATATTATAAAGAGGTAATGTTTGTGATCTTGTGAGTTTGTGAGTTTGTGACGTTGTAGGGGCTAATCTCTAGATCTACTAAACCGATTTAGATGAAATTTGGTAAGAAGATAGTTTGAGACCTATGAAAGGAGATAGGATTTTTATCCCAGTAACTATCCCTTAAGGGGGTGAAATGGGGATGAAAGTTTGTATGGGGAAGCAAGCTAGGGACAAACCCGAGCGAAGCGAGGGTGAGTCGCTAGTACTATATAAGTACCTATATAAAAAAAAGTAGGTACTCGTACCTACAAAATTCAAAATTGTGTTTTTTTTTAAATAACTTTATCCATTATATCTTATCACATTCTTTCTTTAAATAAATAAAGAAATAGTAAGCATTTACTTTACCTGTACCCTTTAATAGTATTATATTGTATAAAAAGATATTCATTAAAGTTCGTTTTCATGGCATTATTAAATCAGTACATTAGCCCTAATGGACTAATAAAGGAAATCGAAACTTCTCCTCTGTTGCGTGTGTTGTCAATACACGAGCTTTTATATGAACTTAAGTTTAACCTATATATAAATAGGCAATAACAAAACAATTCAATAACTTTTTCTCGTATGTTTATCCAACGATTTTTTTGTTTAGCAGCTAAAGACTAACTTTAAAAAATTAACTTAAAAAATTTGGAAACTGTTTTTTATATATATTAGTAAATTGTATTCATATGTTAATGTTTTCATTTAAATGTTCATTAATGATCGACCGATCGACCACTGGACGAACAGTTTTATTATTGAACTAGCCGTTTTTTTTATTCACATTCCTTATTTGGTAGACAAAAAAAATAGAGATTTACTACTTCGTTCTCCGCATACGGCCATTGTAGATACTAATTGTTTCTTAACGTCTACCTACACATAAAATAAAATTGTGTAAACTTTTTCTGATATCTATGACATAGATTTATTTATTTGAAGACACTGTCACTTAAGTGAATAATATATATTATAGTAAAGTAAGTTTAGTTTTAACGATTTAATAGTAATAGACAGTATTGAAAATACGAGTATATATGAAAACGAAACACCAATCACCCTTTAACTAATAAATCATGAAATCTCTACTAAATATAAAATCACAAAATTTCTAAAAGATATCAAGGTTAAAAATCAATCAATATCACTCAATTCCGCACATTTTCATCAACAAGACGCAGTGTTGTAATACACTTTGCTCGATAAAATATTTTTAATTCTATGTTTAAATTTTTGAAAGGTAAATCTAGGACATTTTGTGGAATCTTATTATATATGTAATGCGTATATTCAAGCCCATGAAGGATTTATTCACCTTTTGGAGTCGAAATCAAGGCGTAACAAGCTTATTTCTTAGAACTTTGACATAGTATATTGCCTACGCTTCTGAAGCTACAGCTGACTTTAGAGGTTATATTAATTAATGTAAATCAAATTACTAGCAAAGTGAAGTTGTCAGCGTGTTGAGGAACGCAAGCAAATTATTAAACTTTGCTAACAAAGTTGCTCAATATGAGCAATATTTCGTGCGCTATCACGCAAATCTAAATGCAGGAAATCTTTCTGTAGTCCACTATTTGTCGGTGAACTAACACACAAAATCCTTGTTGAAGCGTGAGGTCCAGTCTCCAGGTCACTTTTTATTAAGATTGCCATATCAAATGCTAACAAATGAATACATTTATGATGTCGGCCTTGAGACACGATAAATCAATATCATCAATGATATCGAGCCTAATGTATTTGATTTAAACAATGAAAGTTTGTGTCTCGGTCACGATTGGCACAGCTTTTTACTTACAAGCATATCTAGTGCTATAAATATAAAAACTTGTGAGAGATTGAGTGTATATATATTTGATATATATTTGATACTTCTTCCCGCTGTAACGGTTCAACTGATCGAAGTGAAATTATGAATGAAGCTTATATCGTGGATATAAGTACATATAAGTTTGTTTATACCGAATAGGCTCCGAAACTACTGAACTGATTTACATCAAAATTTCAAAATTGATAAGAAGATAGTTTGTGACCTTGGGAAGGACATAGGATAATGTTTATCCTGGAAATCATACTTTAAGAGGGTGAAAATGGGGATGAAAGGTTGTATTGGGAAGAAACCAGGGACGAATCCGAGCGAAGCGAGGGTGAGTCGCTAGTCTGTATATAAATATCATAAATGTGAAAGTTTGATAGTATGGATGTTCGTTACTTACTTTAAATTTGGCACAGAGATAGATTATAGTCTGGAAACACATAGGCTTTTTATCCCGGAAAAATGTACGGTTACAGTGAGATGGGTTTATTTTTGTTTTCTTAGAGGCGAACCCGAGCGAAGCGAGGGTGAACCGATAGTATAATATATGCAAAAGTTTCGATGGATGTTTGTTACTCAATCACGCCAGAATAGTTAAACGGAACTAGATGAAATTTGGCACAGAGATAAATTATAGTCTGCAATAGCATATAGGTTACTTTTCATGCCGTAAAAATGTACCGTTCTCGTGGGGTAGATTTGTTTTTGTTTTTTCACTAGGGACAATTACGAATGAACCGAAGGCGAGTAGCTAGTTATTATATATGCGAAAGTGTTTGTATGTAAGTATGTTACAATTTACTTTGAAATAGCTGGACGGATTGGGACGAATTTTAGTACACAGATAAACTATGACCTAGAGTTATACAAAGCCTACTGTTAGGCACCGTACTCAAGCGTAGTACTATACTCGACAATATAAAATAAGTATCTAATAACATATCAGTAACATGTTTTATTTAAATTTCGGGCGCTTTTGTGAACACCTTTATATAAAATAAAATCTTTAGAGATAGAATAGGCTATTAATGAAAGATTTTCAAGGCACAGACGCACATTAATCGATAAACATTCGAAACTGATTTGCATATGAAAGCTTCGACGAGCATTGTTCTCTTGCGGGCTTCCAAAATCGATCTGTAATTAGACGTCTCTTTTGCTAAATTTAGGCTTCATCAAACTTGAAATCTGGTAAACCGGCGAGTGTAGGTGGCACATTACCTTTAAGACTTGGTACATTAAAAATATCATATTCTATATCAAAAGTTGGACCATAAACATAGGTCAGGTTACTCGTAGCAGATGATGCACGCCATACAGCATATTCAATATCTGCCGCTTTAATAGTGTACATTTTTATGACGCAGGTCGGTAAAAAGGAAAATGTACCTAAACGTTCGAGACTAAAGTTGTTATTGCATCACAGCTGTGTACCATCAATATATAATCTGACATATGCACGCCTAAGACTGGGTTCACACGGTTGTATACAGTTCGATAGTAAACATATAAATAGCAAGATGTTCTTAACCGCAGTAGTTATCTTACAGAAATAATATCCACCTTTATTCAGTGTGCTTGACAAGTCGAGTAAATATCTATTAAAAGTGATTAGAGGTGTACGATGTTTGCAGTACAATGAAAACACCGCTGTTTACTTTATAAAACTAACATAGCAGTTGTTTTTGAGTAAAGTACGTACAATAACTTCAAAAAAATCATCGTTCATAATCATTTTCTTAAACAAAAGAATAATAAGAATCGATTTAGGTATATTTACTAGTGTTCGCTCGGTCGTAGAAATTCAACCGTAATATTTTTTTTGCTGATAACATTTTAATGTTTTAAACTAAAGAAAAAACGATTGACAAAGAAAGGCACTGAATCGTTTTCTTTTGCCTATATATGTATATATTATGTAGATATATCGCATAACATATGCACAAAAAACATACAACTGAATTTAGTACTCCTCCATTTTACAGTGCGAACCCAGCATAAGAGACATAAAATATAGAATTAATTAAAAATGGCATGTTTGATAGATGTTTCATGTCATGTCATGATAGATGTTATCCTAAAAGCAAATTGTTTTAGATGCATGTTTTGGATATTTCGAACAATAACAAAAATAATGACTTTATTTTATTTGTATATGTTTTCTTCCCTAATTTATAATAGTATTTAGAAGACCATTTCAATATATGAATGTAAATAGCCCACATATACCTAAATCGATTTTAGGTCATCCCGTTAATCTACTAACTCCGTCTGATATGGGTGCATATGTAATTACGAATATATTTTAACAAATCTGCCCACTTAGATATCAATTTGTACAATAATCACTAATAGAGAAATATATGATAGAAATAATCATGTAAATCTAAACGTAACGCTTTGATACTTCATCTCTATATCTATATATATTAGGTATGTATAAAACGAAGTCGTGTTTGTTACAATACTTATAACTCGAGAACTGCTGGACCGTTTTTTATGAGATTTGTTTTGTTGGATTTGTATTCACGCCGAATAGCAGAATAACTATTAAAACGTCGAAAAAATTCAGGAAAATAAAAAAAAACTTTTCTCTATTCTATTCTTATATTCTATTTTATATATTATCTACCAATAAAACGTACCTAGGGACGAACCTGAGCAAAGCGAGGGTGAGTCAATAGTTATCATATATTTTAAACTGCCTCTGTGGGCTAGCATGTACGGCTAGATCCGGAGATCCTGAGTTCGAATCTCGGGTAAGTATAGTTATTGGGATGGGATGGGAGTGACAGAGAGAGAGTACACTTGTGCACTATAATATCTCCTGCGCAGTGGCTAGTCTCAATGAGATTGGCCGTGGCCGAAATCGGTCAGAAGGACATTATACTAAGCTCTTAAACTTGTTTTCAGCCGCAGTCGTAATAGCGTTCTTCGTCTGTTGGGCTCCATTCCACTTCCAACGGTTATTCTTCATCTACGGCCCTAGAGTTCAGTACTACCACACGATCAATGAATATCTCTTCCTCGCTGCGGGCATCTTCTACTACATATCGGCAACTGTTAACCCTATCTTGTATAACATCATGAGTCACAGGTAAGAATTGCTAGAAAGAGAGCAATGAGAAATGTATTATTAAGTCGGATATCATAGGTTCGATATATACTAAAAATAAAAATATTTATGTGCTTTAATAAATATGTTTTTGTTTGTTTTTTGTAGAAAGTGTTACGTATTAGATAATAGGCTGTATACATTTTTAATTAATTTATGAAAATTTAAAACTGTATTACTTAACGTAATTTAAGTTTCTTATAATTTCATAAGTATAGGTATTATTAGAGGAATGTATATATTATGAAACCTGTGTAATTTACGAGTAGTTGTGCACAGTAATATTCGACTACAAAAAGTAAGCGTAGCACTGGCGTCTGCTTAAATACGACGCGTTAATTGATCTCTTCACCTGTTTGTGCGGAGCTCAGGGAAGCTTTAAAATTTCCCACAAGTTGGAGTCTTCTCCAACAGGTATCGAACTTATAACTGGGTACTAAAACTTTGTTTGTTTTATTGTTAGACGTAAGTACTTTATTACTAGCTCTGTAAGCAACCTTTGCTTCAGAATTCCTAATTACCACAAAGAATTAGGGAATCTCAAAAATGTTCGTATTAGTAAATGGAGAAGTATGTACCATAAAAGTCAGATATTATGTGTACGTACTAATACAATACTAACACTTAAAAAAAATACTTAGGAACAAATTTACTTATATACATGAAAAATTTTCGATTCTATCTCTACTCTACTTTCTTAAAGAAAGTCCTAGATATACAATCGTACCTTCTTTACCTAAAACGAAAAATACTTCTTAAACATGAAAAGTATTATTATTGAAATTTATCTCGTCTGTTTAATGAGTTTGCTCTGTCAGTCCTTTTTAGAATTAAAGAAGCATATAATTTTTGCGACTTGAATTCAAACCCTCGTCTCGTCGTTAGGTGAGCTGTTTGCTCGGGCACTTTGACAAAATAATCAACGTGTTCGCTATCTGTGTTACATAACGAAGTCAGTGATGTGATTTTGCTTCCGAAGTTAGGTTTTTATCAGTTCTCAATGAACTTATTTGAGGAGGGGCGACGCCTCAAGTATCTGGATTTACGGTTATTTCATAGAAAAACTCATTCCTTTGCAATCGTTCAAAGTTTAGTAAAGATGTTAAATGTTGTATTCAAGATAGTGTAATATTTTGAAAGTACGAGAGTTAGAAAGTAAAATTATTACCATGCTTAAATAAGTATATAATAAGATATAAAACCTACAAAAATAAAACTTCGCAAATTTTGACGAGTTAAATTTTATTAAAAAAAGTCTTTTGTATTTTAATATTATAGATATGATTATATTATAAGGCGCCTTCCATTTCACAGATACAGAATCGCATTTAAAGAAACACTCTGCTGCCGCAAAGTTCGTCGCAAGAAGAGCAGGTACCGGGACCAGTCCAGCATCAGGGAGACCATGGTGAACCACACTTCCGATGGGTCTCACCTGGTACGAGTGAGGTCCCAAAGCCACGAACGAAGAAATATGTCAGAACATCGAGCGAAAAACTGCGGCACCGCCGACTCAACGAGTCTTTATACCAATCGGTGGAAGGACAGACGTTCTAAGGCAGATCAAAATGAATCTAGCCATTTGATGATGAAAGATTATAAATATGACTGCGAGTTATAATCAGTTTGTAATGTTATACCACCACCCTAACTATTAGTACCATCAATTAATGTTGGTAATATGTTAATATCCTATGGAAATTTGTTCATGTCCGGGATGAGGAGTATGTAATATTCTTTTACGCAAAAACAAAAAATCTGACGTAAAAGTTCATATGTGAAAAAGAAAAAAGCTATTATTCGGATTTTTTCGCATTCGTTTTATTGTTATTGACTCTTTGACTTTGTTACCGAAACGATTTGGAATACTTTATATAAAACATGGTCAGGGTTAAAATCGCTACAAAATTCATCGATATTTTTTTTTAAATACTGTGTTTTAATTTTATTACGTCCTTGCAGTTTGCATCCTTCTTTAAAACTAAAACTTTCTCATTTTAAATAAAACTATCTTTTCGGATTTTTTTGCGGATTTATTTGGATTTTTGGTTCCCGACGTTTCGATTCGTTTCTCATTCAACACACCGCCGCAACGCGCCAGCTCGAACACACTCTGTCCCTTTCACTCATTCTTTCTTTCATTCACACTTCACACATTAGTCTTACTAGCTCTTATTTAATTTATGCATTTTCATTCCACGGTAATAAATATTCATTTTTAAACGTAATAATTATTATAGAATTATTAATAATAAATATATATTTTTATAAATAATTATATTATTGTAAAAATATAAATATAATATTTTTTTAAATTAGTAATAACAAATTTGACTCTTACTTCCACGACTTTCATTTTTCCAGTGTATTGACTTACCCCTCAGTCACGCCTAAAGAAGTTTTACTTTAAAAAAAAAAATTTTGTTTATTACCTAATACTTAGTTTTAGTTCTAAGAGTTACATAATAAGATTTTGTATTTGTATTGTAAAATAAGCTCGTCGTAAATAATATTTGTAAGAAATCTAAATCATAAATGAAGTTATATTCAAACTATAGTAAATAAATATTTAGGTTTAGGTTTTACTAGGTTTTTAGCAACATTACTATTAGACGGCTAAAACACATTGATGTCTACGAGTATAATTACGAGAATAATGTTATTGCTATAGTTTATTAATACTTATAAATGTTTATATTCTTCTAAGTTATTTTAGCGTTAAGTGCCCACGTCACACGTGGGTCAACATTTCTATATATTATAAACTTTAAGCGAGTGGTGTTGTATTTAGAAAATTATCATGATAGTATAAATTTTTAAAAGAGTCGTTACATCGCTCTTTTAGACGCTAGAGCCGAAAATTCATCATAATTTCACGACTGTATCGTCAAAAATCGAACTTGTGACCTCGGCTCTATGCGGTCGTATCAACATAGTTTTAGAATAAGAATTGTTCATAAATAATATAAATTTTAATTGAAATAAAGATATTATTTATTTAATTTGTGTTTCAATGCATTAACTTTTTTCTTAAACATTTGAAACTAGAATATCTAAAGGGATAATACTGCACTAAATGCGATACTGCTACGAGCAGTTTCTGTTCCACGTTAGGAAACAAAGCCTTGTGCTTACGCTTTGAATTCAGAGAGCCTTATAAATGAACGCTGTCAAAGCTTTTGAATGTCAACTTAATGAAATATGTGTGTTTTACATATTTTTTTATTTTATTAATTTATTACTTCGGAATCATTAGACACATGAAGAGTCTAAAGAAATAGAAGTTTTAGCACATTATGTATGTACATTCATCTTTTATATAAATAAGAATGAATGTTCGTATATTTGTCCTTTATGGGATATTAAACCATTGATCCGATTGTGATGAAACTCTGGTAAGTTCTTGACACAACAAAAAATCCTTGGAGGTTTGCTTTTTATTCGTCCCATTCAAGCTTAGGGACGCACTTGAGCAAAGCGAGGGTATGTCACTTGTATATTATCAGTCATTGTAGTCCATTAATATTATTTTAGAATAACTAAACTAGCATGTTGGACCCTTTAAAACTACTTATGTCTTTCAAAACACACACTAATACAATAATAATATTTTCTTTTATATTAGGAGGATTCAGACAAATATATATCTCAAATTGCCCGAATAACTTGCGTGCAATAATACTCGTAGATCTCAGTAAGATCCCAGACGCGCGCACAAAGTATCACCAAAGTTCTTCGCAATCATTTCAATTGTTTGGGCACGTATAGAAATCAAATACACGACCTTTGACTTTTATATATTAGATAAGTTACTTCAGTGTTCTGATTGGTTCAGAGTGGGTTAAGTAATCTTTAATTCGCGTAGTACTATAAGAAAAGAAATATTACTTTGTAACATCATACGTCTTAGACAAACGCGAAGAAAATTGATTTATTCTCACGAAATTAGCTTATGTTATGGAAAGGGACTTTATTTATCTTATCATGGTCTTTCCTACTGTACGTTTCTCATAGAATAACTGAACAAGCGATATTTAATAGGTGTTTAATTTATATGTAAAGCCGATTCAAAGTATAGCGAATTGCTAGACCCAACGCTATCCACTTACAGACAGCTTACCTTTACTTCAATGATCTACTAGTAATTTTTACTTCCATATAATTTTATCGTCATTTTTCACCTCTTTAGTGGATGAATTGAAATAAAACTATATAAATATAAATAACCTACCTATTCCTATAGTGGTACCAGTCTAATCAGTTTGGATGTTGAGGAATTGTTCAAGTTCAGTCAACTTTGAATAAATACGAGATAATGTGATAAAAACACTTCTCATCATCCTTGCCACACTTTTCGTTAAACCAGGAGTCGAATCTAGGACCTTACAATGAGCAGCATGATGTCGCTATAGGATCAACGACGAAGTTACAAAATGAAGCGAATTCTTTTTCGTAACAATTGTATAGATTCGTCCCTACCTTCATATCAAAATAAATTATGTTATCGGTAATCCATTTTGTGTCAATTCTGGCTTTTCTTTGAAATATAAAGATAAAAGAAACTTATAATATCTTAGAGAAATCTTTTATTTTTCTTTCGCCAGTTCTTCTCAGGTCTGAGGCTTCTTCTTTCCAAACTAGTAGTAGACTCACGATTTTCAGTAAAAAAATGTAATAATTTAATGCTGAATAAAATATTTTGAATTTGAATTCATATAACAGAATTTATATACCTTTACTTATACTTAAATTCCAAACCAAGATAGAATAGTAATTTAACTAGATTTTTACAGGCTTTTAATGAAATTGTTTCTCTTTTTATTCCACATATAATCCACAACTCGTGTCAAAAGCTCTGTGAGCTTAAGACAAACTGGAGTTTCACCGTAAGCTTTACCTCAGTTTTTTTATTAGAAATGACCTCAAGAACCCAGTATCGTGGACATAACTGACTGGAGCTTACCACGAGGACACAGGTTCTATTTCCGGACAGTACAACATTACGACCTATGAACAGTTTTAAATTACAATAGGAATACACACGTACTGTATAGGTAACTGTTAAAAGAATCATTTTTACCATTTGATTTGATATCTCTAATAAAAGTTTATTATATCTATCCATACAATGCCGAGGCCATTTACGAAGAAAGGTCCGGGAAGGCAATAAAATTGCCATCATTAAATGCGGGATTGAATTTTACATCTCTTCCCCGGAGAACAGATGCCCAGATTTTGAGCTTGAATAACATTATCACTTCATGCGAATTATTAAGTATAATAGGGATGATTAGAAAATTACTTATTTATTACGTCTCTTTTACAACATAATTTACAAATATTATCAAAATTAATTTCAATCCCCGGCGCAAACTCGGTTCAACGAAGTAATAGTAAAACACATAATTTAGCGTTTCGAAAAATGATTTCTAGTTTTATGTTCAAATAAAAATCCTTAAACTTGCTAATTAATTTAATTTTAAGAGCGCTGTGAACACTTTAAACTTGCGAAGCGAGCTCATCTCGAAAGCTCGAGGTCTAATATCTATCATCGCGGAAAAACTTATCCTTTCCCGGAATATGAAACAACTAACTAAATCATTCATATTTATAACTAACTAAATAATTTACCTGGAAATGAAATTCTTATTAAAAACCAATCAAGTCCTTTCCTTATTAATAAAAACAAAAGCTCTTCTAAACTTTACCCTTGGGGAACCTTTTCTTTCGAAATGAAAACTAGCCTTTGTCATTTTGCTCTGTTTTTTTACCACCAAATGTTCCGGGAATTCGTAAGTATTCGTACTTACAGACAATTTTTATGGATATTCAATTCAATTCAATGCTCAAACACAGATAAATACTATAGGTATAATGTTTCGTATAAATGAGCCACATAAGCTCATATCATATTTGTATATATTGTCGGAATATAATTGCCATAGAATGTAAAAATAAATGTAAATTGTAAAAAAAATGTATATTGTAGGAATAACTTGCCCTATCGGGCAAATTGACTTGCTGTAATAATCGATTATAGTAGGTCAACTTGCCCGAGGGTGCAAGTTAGTAGCAACAGTACGAGAAGGGCCACGAGTAAACACTCGTGGCCCTTCGGCAGCTTTTAGCAATAAATAAGGATACAGCAGATTGGAATAATGTAATGATAGCCTATGTAAACAGTTGCCGGAGCAAGAGTAAACAGTTGAGGTTTGGCGTAGTAAGCCACTGACCACCATCTTTTTACTAGATATATATAGTCTATATACGTAGGTAATAATATAAATAAGTTACGCTACTTTTCAAATAACCGATAAAGAAATTTCTTGTTTATATAGGGCCTCCCTTAAAACATATTATACACTCGAATTCCATACCACCTCTTTTTGAAATAATTCAAAAATAAAAATAAAGCAAAAGGAGCTTTATCTAAAAATGCACATCAGTACCTAATAAAAGCGTATTATATAACAGTTATTATACGAATACAAGAGAGTATCGAATTTAAATGTTTGTTTTAAGTAAATGCTCTTCAGCCTTTACATAGTTATTAGTTTCTCTTTAAAATGTGCAGCAAAGTAGAAGCCATTTTATGAAAATTGCTTACACTTAAGTGAT